ATAAAAAGAAAAAAATCACTTTAAATAAATGAATACATTCAAACCTTTTGTAAAGATCTTATTTCTCTTTCATATGAATCTTTTTGCAAGCGTAATTTTTTATTTAACGTTTCCTTTTCTTGTTTCCATGAATCTCCTAGCTCTTTGTGATTCAGTTCCAACTCTGCTAATTGATACGCTTTAGTTTTTGTGCTAGATGCTTTCAGTATCGTTCGCTCTTCATCCCACCTATGTTTCAGAGCATCCAAGTCTTTAGCATGCTCTTCAACCATTACATTCCATTCTTTTCGCAAGCTTTCTTCGTTTTCAATTTTTTTTTTAAGAGATATTTCTGTTTGTTGTAATTTTGCTTCAACATGTTCTGCCCGAATTTTATATATTTGAACGTGTTCTGACACGGTGTTTAATTGAGTGGTTAAATCTTCAATTCTTTTCTTCATCATTTCCTCTTTATTTAATGATGCAACTTTTGTTTCTTTAAGAGCAGCTCGAAGAGACGTATTGACATTTATTTCAGTTTGTAAAAGGCCACACAATTCTTGAAGTTGTGATTGAAGATTTTGTTGATCACTTTGATTTGTATTATTTTGATTAGCGTTTCCAGTCATATTCAATGCAGCTAAGGTATTTTTTAAAGTTTGAAATTGTTCTTCTACTTCACTTTCCAAAAGCATTAATCTTTTTTCTTCCTCAGTTTCTAGGTTTAACGAACCATTACGAAGTTGTGTTATCTCAGCTGATTTAGAGTCTAATTCATCAGAAGCATTCTGTACCACATCGACCATTTCACTTAATTGAATTTCTAATCGTTGATTTTTGTCGTTGGACTTTTGTAGGTCTTCAACTAATTTTGTATTTTCAAGCTTGAGCATGTCATTCTCAGATTGTAATTGATCAATATCTAACTTCAGTTTATCTACATTATCCGTAGGGTTTATGGCAGTTTTTATTAAATTTTGCTTTGAAACCTCTGCATTTTTAGCCTCATAACGTTCTTTTGTAGAATTTACACTTTTGCCAAGAAGATCTATACTCTTTGTTAGATCTTCAAGTTGTGATAAAAGTTTTTCCTTCTCTAAAGTCAAACAATCTCTACGTGATTGCAATTCATTCCTTTGACCTTCCAAGTGTCTCGTTTGCTTCTCCAAATTTCTGTTTTGTTCACCTAGTTGTTTAAGACGAGGCTCCAATTTCTTACCTTCTCTTTCATATTCAGCAATTAATTCGTCACCCTGATTACGGGCAAGTGATAATTGTTCGCTAAGTTGACCAACTTCTTCTTCAAGACTATTTATTTGTTTTGCAGCTTCTTCCTTTGCATTCGAATGGTCAGTTTTTAATTTTCCATAATCAGCTTGCAAACGTTCTACTGTACTTGATAATTTTGTTTTCTCTTCCAATAAATCTGAAATTTTTTTGTTAAGTTCCTCAATCTTTTTTGCAGCATCATCCCTTTGTTCTTCAGACATATTAGGTTCTTTTATATTAACGCGTAAACGTCAATTCTTTTGTATTTTCATTTGAGACTTTTAGTTTGTTT